TTCCAATAATTTGAACAATGATTAGTTATTGTGAAATTACCGTATCTTATCATTCTCCAGGATATGCGTGATCTATTGGGAAAGACACCGTATATGGATCCATTGTCCACTGCGTCACCAGTGGGTAAATCCGAGGAACGAAACATGGAATATCAGACAGATGCTCAGAGGGATAAAAAAGGTAACTGACCGTCGTTCTTAATCTCCCCACTCGTACAATCCACTAAATAGTATTATATGTGCTAGTTCTGTCCTTCATTTCAGACTTGAAGAGGACGACTGTGACTCAATGTTTGACTGAGATGATGAATGAACAAACTAAGGCACGAGCCGCCCGAGATGAAAAAAGAAATGAATATCATAAACTAAAATTACAAAGGTTTGATCTGAAAAAGACTGATCTTTCAATTGAATCGAAGATGGCTGCATGATTAGAATAATTTTGAGATACTCAGTGTTCAAGTTAAAAAAGTGATATAACTGTATAAACCGACAGGTTTTGTGCTGAATAATAATAAAAAACAAAAAAAGTGATAACAGTATTACTTCTTTCGTCTTTATCAACTCTTTGAGCAGCTCAAAACGTTCATTTACCAAGTACTTTCTGACACCTTTTCCCATGTTCTTCTGCTGGACCATTAGTGTGACGATACCTTGAAAGTCTCCAAAACGTTTGATCAACGTACTCTAGAATCAAGGCTGTACAGTTGCTTATCGTGAGAACACCTACAAGAGCACGACGTGGGATAAAAAATAAGGTATAACTCGAAGGCATTTTTTCTCATCCACAATCGATCACACCACCAATGAAAAATATATTGTACAACAGACCAAAGGACAAGTCTGCTCAAGAATCACTACAATGGAAGAGCCAAATGGAGAGCTTTTGATCATTTTTCTTCTGCAACAAGAAAAATCATCAAAAACATTCGAAGTTTAAAAAGAAAAAGAATGGTCACGTGGACAAACTAGGTAATGTGGCAGATGGAACAGGTTCTACTAGTTGACAGGTTCAAGTCAAATCTACTAGACGTATACAAAAGGTCTCTCCCTCTAAGAGCTGGACGCAGTAGCTCTCAACTGGATTCGCCACACTCCATCAATCTTCTCACAGATGATCATCAGCAGCATCAATCATCTCCTGGAGTCGATCCCAGAGACTTTGGATCCATCCTCTCTCTTGCCCTGGCTTCGCCACTTCGATTCTTCAGCTACTGTGCTAACCCTCACTAGTCTCCCGGCTATTCCCCAGTGGTCTTTAAAGAAAACTAAATCCCTGGAGATTTATAATCGAGAGTCCTGGCCCAGCATCGGCTTGGACTTTGCCAGTGCCCTCGTCTCGATACTCCAGTTCGAAGAGTATAATATTTGCTTTCAATTTCATCAGCAATTCACTACGAAGAACTCTCGCCTGCAGAAATTGCAGCCGTTCAGCCAGGCGATGTCTGATCTGCTGAGCCTCAGGACTAAATATAAGATTGTCATCTCCTTGAGGGTTTACCTGGGAGATCCCACACAAGTTATTCATCGTCTTCTGAATAAGATTCATATCGAGAAGATTTCCTCACCGATGAATCACTTTCTCCAACAATACATGTTGAATCATTCCTTGAAGAACGATCAGGTCCTCTCGTTGTACGTCACCAAGATCCTGAAGATGTCCAAGGGCTTGTGGATGTTGGAGATGGCCCCCCCGCGGCAAACGACTATCAATCATCATTGGGCACATTCATAAAGTTCAGAATAGACTTCAGCAGACTCTTGAAGTTCTCAAGAAGGCGCCTGTATCCTGGTCTCCAGCAGTTTCGTCCCTCGTTGAAGAAAGCTATGGGTGTGATTATTCTCTGGTGGGACAAATCAGGATTCAGAGCAGTTATGTTGCTGTTAAATTAATCATGAAGAAGTATGGATTTGCTCATATGGAGCTGTCCTCCAATCTTTATCATAGGATTATCAGAGGATCGGGGAGCATGATAGAGGATCTTTTAGAATCAACGAAAAATAAACAGAAGATCAAACAGAAGAAAATCCTGGGTGTTGTGTGTCAGTCATCACCTAAGGGCCCTAGAACTCGACAAAGGCATGAAGATCCCGGAGATGCTAGAGGATGGTGTCGTTGATTTCTGCTGCAAACAGATCGTCAATGATCTCCAGGGGAGGCTGAACATCTTGAGAGACTTCAAAAATGATTCCCTGGGATCCTAAGTCGAGATCCTACGGCTCATCGCACGAGGATTAACGAAGGATGATGACATCCTGAGGATAATGTCACATCTTCAGTCTATCTCCTCAGAACTGAATTCAACATCTCCATCAATGTTCGTGATTATTTTGAGAATAAAAAACAGATCCTTCCGGAGTATATCCTGAATTTGATTGAGAATGACGCCCCGAGCGGGGACATCCTCAGGAACTTCGAGCGAGTGTCGAACTTCTTGAATTTCTCAAAATTATCAAGGATTTACGAGTATTTCGAGGCGAGGCAGGACGTCGAAGTCCTCCAGGAGTTTCTGATTGATGGTCTGAGCACCTAGGAAGTTCTTACGATTGAAGAGTGTCACTTTTCTCTGAAGATGATCTCTCAGTTGATCCTGGAGGGGCAGGACGATTGCATCCTAGCGATGTCTCTGAAGAATCTAGTCTCTAGAATTGTCATGAATTCTCTAAGCGAGGCATTACCGCAAGTCCTCGAGTGCTCGATCGAGATCGATGCTCATAACAAAGCTGTGAGTCACACCTTGGAGTATCAGGAGTCGCCCCACGACCCGATTTACAAAGATACATCGATATTCTCCGGGGACGTCCTCGTTCCCTACCTCAACTACCTCTTCACCCTGTCTCTCGTAAAATCACCCGTTATTAAGATAATAGCAATATTACTCAAGTTTTCCTATTTTATTGGCACATTTTTGTCATTTAATTGTGAAATTATCTTGGTTTTAACGAGAAATATCAGGACATCTAATATTTTTTCTCACCAATATAGGAAATTCTCTATAGAAAATGTATTATTGACATTCTTTTGTTAATAAGATAATTCAACGATTGATATACAATAATGAAAAGTTCAGATGAAATAGAACTTCTTGTTGATTGTTGAATTCTGTCGTGAATGACTGACTTTGAGAAAGAATGTTGAAATAGTACATTACATGCCCGAGCTTTGGAAAACCGATCACCACGTGCAAGATTGCCTTCCGAGCCGGAGGCGAGGATGGCAAGCACGTGGGGGAGGGTGATATGTTTTCCATAGCGAGGTCTGTATATTAATTTTCGTGTCGAGGGACCTGAAAAATGACAATTTCATGAAAATGGGGTTTTTCAGGTCCCGTGACACGAAAAATTAATTTTCGTAAGAAATCAATCCTCCACAAAGGAGAACATATCCTCCTTCACACAGCCCAGTGGAGAGCCCTGAAACTCTACCATCAAACTCACGTTGAAAATCAAACAGAAAAGTATTAGAAAACTACAAAAAATTATTTTTTTCACAAATTAAAAAGATTTAAGTTGATAGAACATGAATTATTGACGTTGAAATAGCATATGTCGAGACTTTCCGCCACAATACCTTGACGCGGATTTGCTCATATGGGTGATTATCTACAAATTGTTATTTTCTTGTCCTTCAACTTTTCCAACCTGAAAATGATGAAATAATAATCGAATTTCTCTGGATGTCGGGAGACAGTATAACATTTCACCGTTTCCATAAAATAGATGCCATTCCCTGACCGTTTATTTAGCTTTAGAGAGCTGAAACCAGCCTAAATGTCATTACCGTGGCATGTCCTTTTTATCAAATTCGAGATTTGGTCAATGAAACCGAGTAAATAAGCAGCTCAAAAAAAATTTGCTGAACATAGATAATGGGGGATGCGACTAAGTATACTTTCATGAGCAATTTTCAGAGGAATAACAGTTTTACTCACACCAGGACGATCAAAAATTTTGTCCCACAATTATAGCACTATTTTAAAAAATTTGAATTCAACTGTGGTCACGCTATTTCCGATGTTTGCGCATGACGCACGCACCAAAAGTCTGTAATGAAGGGGTAAAGCCCAATATTTACACCAGTAAAAATTAACTAAACACATGTGCACATCGAAGAAAGAGTATTCGAGAGATGAAAAACATAAGTCACAAATTATTCTGTCACTACCGTGGTCTCATGTTTGTTACATGTCGAGTAATTTCTTAGATAATTTTTTTCACTAAAAAAGTAACATTCCATTGCCTGAAACTCATCGTCTTCAGAGAGCTTTGAATTCACAGCTGGCACGAAGTGCGATTAGGCTTTAACACAGAATGTCACAACCGTGGTAGTCACAACCGTGTTATATCATACATAAACGTGTGGGAGTGAATTTGTATCATCACAAAGGTATTTAGAAAAATCTTTTAGGAGTGTAAATGGTGCAAACTCAGAGTAACAGCCAGGTGGGTCATCAACAACTGCTGAATACAAAGGTACAGTACCGTAATTGATTGTTGAAAAAAAAACCAAAGTGATCTCCGCAAATGAATATATAATACTCGAAAGATGTCAAATAAATCAATAAACTTATTCTATTATCTAAAAATTAAATTTCTTGATTGAAATATGAAGACTTGTCAAGTTTGATCACCAACGTGGCAGTAAAAAATCGGTAACACTCTATTATTCTAAATCTTTTGAAGTTGTAGTAGAGTGGTGCTAGGACTATACTTCTGGACCATGATGACATATAGAAATGTAAAAAAAATTACTCTGCAGACATGTTCAGATTTTGGAAAATGTGCAAGGTGAAAAATTACAATTTGTAGAGAATCATCCATATACTGTTTGAACAATACAACAGTACTTAGAATTTCCGTACGCGATTGTTTCATACTTTAACAATTCATTTCGACAAAGTTTGTACAATACATTCCAGATTGCTTTGTAGATGCTCAATCGAATTGAAAGAACTCCGACAATATTGTTGAAAGAGTAATAAAAATTGGTCAATATGCGGATGTAGCAATATAAATAATATTTGTATATTGACAAGATTTATTGACTTACAATTTTTTTTAAATGAGTAAGGTGGATTCACCTGCAATATTACATCTACATAACTCGTAAAAAATTAGTGGCAATTTAGGAGGTACAGTAGAGTCTCCTCAATTCAGTCGTTCCTCCATCGGTGATGTGTCGTCCTCCCTTCTTAGCCATCATGCCATGTCACTGCCCTTCCATTCGCTTTTTAGTATTTGTGAGGGAACGATCCGCCATTAATTTTGACCGAATTAGGAGTCCACTAGCTATATAGATCACGGAGATTCGGAAGCATCTTGTATCGCATTGATATTATTGAGTGATTTAGAAATCTGGTTTTACTCTTAGTAAACATTCTCTCTAAGTCGGGAAGACATTAGTATCTGTGGATGTGAAGAGGAAGCAAAGGACGTAGTGGCCGACGACGAAAACGAGGAGGTAGAAGAGGTTTTCGGATGGGAAGGAGAGGTCGGTGGTGAAGATGGACCGCATGAGGCACATGACGAGTCGGAAATCTTGGGCGAGTATATCGTCTTCTATGAATTGGAAGGTAACTAGGAAGTGGGCGTTTGACACCTAGCCAACGTCGAATTCGCCGATTTTCCACTGACGGGTCAACTTGCTGATTACTACCATCCAATTGGGGCGCACTTCTTCGAAGACGGTTCCATACGGATCGATTTTCTATGAAATGTGGCACACTTTTATGCGTCACAGCAGCGTCCTAAAATTCAAACATCAGCTCATGAAATGGAATGAATAACCGGCATACTTCACTACTTATACTGCATTTTCTCGACAAAATGACATATTACACATAATGGAGTTCCTCGATTTTTGGACACATGTCTCGCATTAAGACCTTGTCTACAGAAATTGTCATCCCATATGTTAATTTCATGATTTGTATATTGAATTCGATTCAATCGTAAAGGAAAATCCTCAATTACACAATATACAACACAGAAGCCTCGTGATTCGAAAAGAGTGCTGCTGAGAGTTTCAGCATAAGAATCTGATTACTCAATTTTAAGGATTTTCCTTTTGAAATTGAATAATCAGGGTGAGTCTTAAGACTTTCGCGCTCAATATTATTATTCATTGTTATGAGTTCTGGATGGATGCCGCGTCTAGATTCAGCTTTTTGCCGACGTTTCGCAAACATTTCAGTCTGTATCATCAGAGCTAGATTGTTCCGATACTGTATGGGAGCAACCTAGCCCGGAGGAAAATCTTATTCTGAACCTACTCTGAGGTGAAAAATCTGGTTCGAACCACGGGAAGTAAAATAGAGAACCCTTACCCATGCTTACCACCCACGCTTTCGACTTAAGTGGTAATTCCGTATGTGGGCACGACTCGTTTATTTTACTTACTTAGGTTAGAAATCTACTTTTTTCTGTGAATATGAATCTCCCATGGTAAAATTAAAACTTGTAAATGCGTGTAAATGCTTAATTTATTATCAGCAATTCGGATGTGTATAATTCAAGTATGTGCATTTCAAGAAAAGAAGAGAATTCATAAAACTCGACCCGCAATTTGTGGATTTTGTTTTTGTTGAATTCCACATCCTTAAATTATCCTAGTCGATTACTCACTTCAAATTGAATATTTCCACGTTTGAATTACGCAATGTAAAAATAAGATTCTGTTGGTGTATTTCAACTTATAATATTTAATTTTGTCTTCATACAAAAAAAAAAGTGTCAAAAAAGCTCCCTTGCACGTAATAAATAAGTGATTTTGTTTAGGAAATGCTGTGTCGGTACTGAACTATGACACAAAATTCTGTAGATTGTAAAAAATGCAAATAACTCTGTTACCTTTGGCCTCTGTGACCCACGCAGATTTAAATGTGAATAATCACCGCTTTTCCTACTAGGTGTGTTTGGACTCTGAATGGGATGATTTTCAAAATGATGGAAATCAGTAGAAACTCGGGCATCTAAGATCATGCCATCCTCTTGTGCTAAATCCGAAAAAAAATCGATTGAAGCCAGCGTTATTCCGCTACTTTATGGTCAATTCTAAGAACTTACTATTTACACAGTAGACACAAATCCCCAATAAGACAACGAGCCTGGATCGCAACATGATTGGCGTTTTCGAGCGCCTTATACTCTACTTGTGACTGAAACTCTGGCCGGAATATTTATATGATTCGTATGAAATAGTTTGTAAGGTAGAACGTGACTTTTAATGAAACTCGGTTATCACTGATGGGTGGACGGACGCGGCCAAATTCGCTTTGTTATAAAAATATCAACACGTGTGCAGTGACGTAAATATCACATTCGATGAGGAACAATAGAATTTAGGTAAATAAATGCCATTGTCTTCATTATCGTCACAACTTGTTTAAATTGATTCATTCAGATAAAATTGTTCTTGTTGAATTATCAGACAATATGAATTGCATACGTGCAAAATTCTTGATTCGTTTGATGGATGATACCAAGGAAATTTTCGATGGCTAATAAAATTTGGAATTGGAATTGAACTCTGAATTTCTTCGAATAAATAGTTTTAAAATCAAAAGTACACGATTAATTCATATTCACGCTTTGCGATTGTTAGGAGGGAGTATTAGAATATCTCACGGACCCAAAAATTTAATAGAAACACCTACTGCATCCGCAGGTAAATTCTATTGAATTCCTATTCGAATGCTATTGTTTTTCGCCGATCCTATTGGAAACTTCCACAGTTTTTCCGTATATGTTCTTTTGTAGGGAAAAATGGATTGAAAGATCGAAGTTATTATCATTTCTGCCTACATTTACTTCTGCTCTTAATTCTGACCCTCATGCCAAAACCCTGTGATCGTTTGTTTTCACCCGTATTTTGGACCCTCACACCTGACCCTCATTATTTACTGTCCCACTCGACCCTCATGACCTTCAGTTTGACCCTTATATATTATTTATTTTATATTCCCCCTCTTCTTCTTAACAATAGAACCGCCTAGTGATAGAACCCCCATTTTACACCCCCGTATGAAAACCTCTCGCCAGTAATGTGTATAGAAAATTTTCTAACCATTCTTTCATTGTGTTAACAACTATTGCATGACACTAACTTGTATGACACTCTACTTTACACTAAAAAAAGTTACAGCCACATCCCAGGTAAGAATTGACGATAGAAACAGGGCTCATCAAGCCCTGGACCAAGGCTCGGAAATGCTCAATCAGGGCTGGGGCTCAGCCTTGGATCAATCCTCCTTCAGCCCTAAAATGATAACCTCGTTTCAGGCTTAGTCCGCAAGGCTTGAACGAGGCTTGGTGCCATGATTGATTCAAGCCTTGAATTACCAAATTTTAAAGGCTCAATCGAGCTTCGGCTAAATAACCCGAGTGGAAATTCTGGTCAAGTCTTGATCAAGTTTGGGTCAGGTTAGACCTGACCACTGATCAGGTATTAATCAAGTTGACGGATCCGGTCCTGATCAGACATGTTACGCCTCCGACCAATCCGGATTTGATCAGGATGAATGGATCCGAACTTGATCAAGTCAACTGTATGAAAACCGGATGACTTGTCTGTCAGTATCAATAACAATTATCAATGATAATTAATTCAAAACAAAAAATAATTCATTTCTTTCACCGTAGGCCGCCTCTCTTAATGAATCTCTACTGTTATTACCTCTGAAAAAGCTTATTATTTTTTTACCGATGCTGGGGACCGAACCAGGGACCCTATGATTGCTAATCCTATGCCCTAACCACTACGCTATCGCGCTATTACTATTGAGTAAACTGTACATTACGATTATTCCTGATCTCGCGGATGTGCGTGTGTATTCTCAGAGATAAAATAGGTTTAATTCAATTTTTATTTATTTCATTAATGAATAATAATAATGATAATAACAATAACTCTAATAAATAAATAGACATTTAGTGATTTTTTTTCTCAAGATCATTTGCCTGTAAGTTTGATACTCCTCTAATACGTATTTACGGCATCATCATCCCTCCCTTCTGTACATTTGAAAAGGGCTGGCTGTTAATTAAATTAAATTCATTAAATTAAATTAATTTAATTTAATTTATTTTAATTATAGTATCATGATCCTTTTTAAAGATTGAACAATTATTGATAATGGTTGATAAAATTTAATTTCACTAGTATAATAATAGTATAATAATAGTTAATTAAATTATCCGAAAAACTTATTAAAATTAATGTCAGGTGGAGCCGATCTGAATCTGATCATTTTCTCTTCAATTGACTCCGTTCAAATGCTGATCAAGGACATCGAATCCGAATTTGATCAAATTGGGGTCAGGCAGTAGCCGACCGCAGGGTGAGATCGTGCCTACCTGATCAGAACTTGATCTGAACCCGCTTGTAGTTTTTCGGATCCGATCTGCTGGATCAGAACTCGGTCAGGTTCTCATCAGGAATCACCGGATCAGTCGAACCTTACGAAAATCTGATCAAGTTCTGATCGTTCTTCAGATGGGCCTGAAGCAATTTCCACTCGGGAAACTGGAGTATTGTTTACAGATATTTGTATAAACAATTTCTTATTGCTTCATAACGCTTTTTATGAATTTAGAGTAACCTATGAAAGAGAGTGCGGTCGGACCGTACGTCACTGTTGCTAAGCGTTATGGTGATTGTGATTGTTAGTTAATTAACAATGGATGGGAAAAAAATTATTATCATCATTAGTTTCTACTAATTATTTGTCCTGGATTATTACCGCGCAACTGGAAATTGAAATACAATAGAATCAAACATTTAAAAATTTGCTCCTCTGCTGGGGTTCGATCCGGGGTCCTTCTGTTCCGTAGACAAGCGCGCTATCCACTGAGCTACCTGTGACTTCTTGGGATGATACATTTTTTTCGGGTATAAAAATTCAACTTGTGTTAGTGTTATTTTGTTATTTTGTTGATATCCTAATTAAACTTCCTAAACTTGAATGAATGATGGGTCCGATGGATTTATGAGTTCAGAATCGCTTGATTAATTAATTATAGATAAAGATAATAATAATTATGTACCCACATGCACAAAGAGCTGCTCTAGGCCTGGCCTGGGGTTAGCTTAGATAACTTGGCGGAAAATTATAGCTATGTTCGTAGATGATGATAATGTTTTCACCACCATTAGCTGATGGGTATTGATATACAAATTGAGGAAATTAATCAGAAGTAACTTTAATTTTCGAGGCCTTGCTGAGCCCTGAATAAGCCTTGACGTGGTGAGCCTAAATACTGAAAGCCTGGACTAGGCCTAAATTGAGCCTCGCCAATGGCCCCTTTAATCATCCTCATTTGAAGCTCAAGTGAACGGTGAAACCAAGCCTATCTCAGGCCTGAATAACTAAGCCTCACCAACCCTGGGCTCATACAGGCTTGTTCTGATCGTCAGCCTATGTAATTCTTACCTGGGATACCATTGTAATATATACACAATATGCGCATTTCTCATAAAAAAGGTGAAATCGATATAGTCATTTCAATTACCCGAAAATTGTCTCCTGAAATTTTTTGTCACAGTGAGGCCCGGTTGCACCGAGCCGTGTTAGCTATTTTTACCCCAGCATAAATTTATCCATGTGTAATCCTTATGGACTAACAGACCGTTATCTGGCGGTTTAGTTAACAGACGATGGTGCAACCGGGCCTGAATAGAGCATTACCGTTCATAGTAAGTACAATCATAACTGTCATAGTCATCCTCACAGAACGGGAGAAGTTGAGGTTTTTTTCTACTATATTTATAGCAAATTTCACCATTTTTTTCTCCCAGTGTGGAAAAACAGATAGTTTAATAGTGGATAATTCTCAGGAGTGCGACATTGAATCCCATTCAAGGGGGGGAAATTATGAAATTTCGAATTGTTCAGAAAATTCAACAAAATTTCAAGTTTTCAAGGAGTAGGAAGACGAGGGTTTTCCAACTTATTCGAGTTTCAATCAAAATATGAATATTCAATATAAAATTACGATAAATTCTCAATCAATTGAAAGTTCAACAATATATTTGTCTGAATTGCCCGGATGTTTATCAATTCTGAAGGCATAATTAAACTGGAATTCAAAGTTCCTATTGATTCTCCAGTAAATTGTCAATTTTTAACGACAGAAATACTTCAAATTCCAGGAGAATTGTCACTCGCTAAAAATTTTGAACTGTGTAGTAAAATTAAATCTTACACATTCTACTTACTCCTTTCCTTCTTCTTGGACCCATATGACTCGCGAGCATAACTAAGCAACGGTTACGTAAACTACATATGGTACTGAAAACTCTACAGAATATGGGTGTAAAGTTTGTTATAGTTAATAACTTTTGCAGAAGCAATCATCGATCCCATCTAGAGACCCCGCAACACCAGGAGTTAGGCATGACAACTTGACACACGGATATTAAAGATAATTCTCTGCGGAATAATAAATGTAGTGGAAAACACGGCTGAGAAAATAGCATTTTAGTACCACACAGAGAGGCAAGCAAAGAGGTCTCTGAGCAGAGCGGTAAAATTTCACTATCGATTTGATATCAGGATGAAAACAGGGGATATTTTCAGCGATGGATATTACAAACGAAACCGAATTTTCATGGTTCTCATTGGATTGTGGCCGGAATATCCGAAACGGCCGAGGATTTTTGTACAGTGTCTTGCTTTGCTCTCGTTGGTCTCCGCGATGATACCACAGGTATTGTAAATTGCTGTTCTGATAAATGCACTGACATAGTATTGCCTTGTCCACCAACGAAAAGGAAGTACATTTTTATATCACCTTGGTGGACCTGTCGATTAATAGAACCGACTGGTTCAGTAGGTCGATAACCGACCGGTCGACCAACAATCGAATGGTATCAGCATACTGAACTGGTCGGTTCTATGAATCGACAGGCCCACCAGGGCAATTAGGCGATATTTCAATTACGATCTGTGAACTACAAATTTCCAACTACCTTATTTTCTTTTGCTGTTGTCCAATGTCAAGAATTTGACTCAATTCTCAATGAATGTTGCAGTTTTTTAATAAAAATGTTGTAATATCAAAGGTAAACTCAAGTCAACCTAATTCGTATCAATGTACATTTCAAAAAGTAATAAAATACAATGAATGCAATTGTTGCTTCAATCAATAACTTTGAATATTGAGATGTCAGCATCCTAGTTAAATATTTTTCGCGTTTAGTTGAAATGTTACCTAGTTAAAGAGACTTGTATTGAATCAAAATACAATCGAAATGTTGTTAGTTGATGTCATTTAATTTCTACAGTTCTAGGGCCAAAATATTATTGCTAAAACTTCTTTTTTGATTATATTTCTCTCTCAGTGACCAATACCACCAACTGAAAAGATTCAATATTTTGAAAATTATTCATTCTCATTTGAAACATCTTTCAATAGCCTTCAATCTCCTAAATCTTCACCGCATTAATCAAGAAAAAATTTATGACATATTCTACACATGTACCAGTACACAGATTTATTCGCGAGTTAATCAAAGAACTTTGCAATTTTATGGCCCTTTCAGTATGCATTTCTGATCAAAGTATGCGATAATATGGATGATGTGATATTCGCATTCGTAGACCAGATGACTGTTTCTGTAGCGCTTGTCTATTATTACGTCTTCATAAAAAATATGGAATGGGTTTGTACGTCGCGGCAACAAAGTTGACATTTATATAAATTGCTATCATTTGTTGTTACAGATTCATTTAACTATAAATCAAATACGAGAGGATTGGCGTATTTTGGAGAAGTCATCAGCTTTGGAAACTCTACAAACGTATGCTAAGAGAGGATACTTGGCAACTACATTCTATACATGTATGTTTGTTAATAATTCGTGTAATGATCAATTTTTTTAAATCTAATCGTTTTTTATCAAATATTTTATTCTGAATATTTTTATATAAAATGAGCTGCGGAATTTTTCAATAAAAGCGGTAGAAAACCTGGCGCATTCCTTAAGAATTCCTGTTGAATTTCTACAGGAATTCTCAAAGAATTTGTTGCAGTTTCATAAAAATTCTATTGAGTAATTCTACAGGTTTTTTGGGATAAATCTAGCGAAGATTATGCAACTTATTTCCGGTGCCAATTTCTAAGAGATATTTTCTATAATGAAAAGAAGATGGGCAAAATGTGTCATGCGTTCATTTTGTCGAATTTTGTTCGCGTTTTCGCAGTAGTGAATTGTCAAAGCATCAGGACTATAACTCATGATCATGCGGATATGTCTGTTATCTCTATAATAAAAAGGAGATGGCTAAAATGTGCAACTCATTTATTTTCTTCTCTCTTCTCAATAATAAACAAGTGATTTATTAGAGAATTTTCCGGGACTGGATTTTAGCCAATCACAGCACAGTATTCGAGGCCACGATACTCTTTTATTATCAATTTTTTTCGGAAATTGCACACTAGCTTCTGGAAATTGCATCTGATAATTGCATAGTAGCTATTCATTTATTTCTAACCAATTGAATGTTTTGCTGGAAGAAGCCCTCGAATACTGCGCTCCGCTTAACCAAAATCCAGTCCCGAAAAATTCTCCGCCGAATACCCCTCAAGCTTCCCTGCAAACAAACAAAAGTGTCAAGTTTTCCAGAAAAATCCCTCGTGCTGCGCACTCGCGATTTTCAGCCTGCACGGCTTGACACTTTCCTTTGTTTTCAACCAAGCTATCGAGAAATATTCCGATAATTTTGAAGATCTCGGGGTATTATAACTGAATATTTCTTAGTGTTCATTGAAATTGTTTGATATTCAGTTCGAAATATTTCGCAAAAAATGGTTTCAATTATTGACTGTCCATTCTCTTGATTAATGTGAATTTTATTAGAAGGGGAAATTCTATTATATTGGCAATGAGAACGATGAATCATGTGATTGAGCAGTCGTGTTGATATGCGATAGATAGATTATGATTTTTCTATGGAAATTCGTGGGGATAAATTGTTCAACTGTTTTTCACTGTTTTTTATTTGTTGCTCATGATAAAATTCAAGAAAAAATAATTGGAAAATCCCTGCCCAAAAGTTCTTGCAGAAGGAAGATTTTTCGATAAAAAATATCTGTTAAGAAACGCACGCCAAAGATGCAGAAATTGTAATAGAATTAGCACAACAAAATAGATAGAATCTCAATAGAATTCTAATAGAATTTCATTGCAATTCTTAAAGAGTTCCAATAAAAATCCAACGGGAAACGCCAGTTTTTTCTAAAATTGGAATTATACAAAAAATAGTATATTATATCATCAGGCGATAAAAGCATTATCTGACGAATGTGGGTTTATAATCCGAGCCTTCGGCCTTCGGCTCGGGTTTATAATCCGAGCCTTCGGCCTTCGGCTCGGATTATAAACCCACATTCGCCAGATAATACTTTTATCGCCATGTGACATACGATATTTTATGTCGTTGGGCCTGAAAACCGCGATCTAATCGAGCAAAGCGAGGTTAGAATCGCGGTTTATCGGACCTAATGACATAAATATCATTTTTAAGGTGTGACAAGCAAAGGGAACGCGTTTGGCGGGCGCATGAATTGACTAATGGTTTATGCATATTATTCATGATCGTTATGTATGTATTTATTGATAGTTTTCTTTCTAATTCATTTAGTTACGTTTTTATCTCATTCCAAATATTTTGTACTTGAATAATAAAAATTTTCTATTTATTACGTTAATGGCTGAGAAATGAGGAGTTTTTAATGATGAACAGAAACGATTGGAATACACGGAGAGAAAAGTCGGAGAAAAATTCTAGTGCTCGACACCAGAAACGAGGCGTAAATTATCAATCTCCCATCATTCGCAATAAAAATTAAAATTAAAAACTTGCATTTATTGTAATAAACATTATAATAATTGTAAGTTCATTAATTTTTCCAAGGATCCAATTATTTTTTGTTCTCCTTCCGAAGAGTGCTTCTAAAGAGGAATGCTTTGTGCATTCGAAACCTAATGCAATTAAACTAATTACATTTTTTCGTGTTGATTATTGCTGCTGACCGAAACATGGCCCAAAGGAACTTAAATGTTTCAATCACTCATGTCATATTTATGTAATTAAGTGATGTTTAATTGAGCCTGATTAACGCTTGGCGACTAACGCTGGGTCGCGATCCGCGCCGAGACCTGGCCCCATATTATCATCCCAGTTTTCCACAAAGTCTGGCGCGCTTCCGTCTGTGGAGCGGGCCCGATTTTGGTAGCCCGGCGGGTGTGCTTAGACCGAGCCCGGCCCGTTGGTTTTTTCCTACCGGGGCCTTCACTTCTCTCTTCTATTTCATCTTCAAGAACATGTCACACTTCGGACTATTTTGTCTATCTCTCTTGTTTGACCCTTATGACTACCACCTTTTTTGCTGGCTTCCCTCACTCTGTTGATCCCACTTTTTTGAGAAACCTAGTGAGAGAAAGAATCGCACAATCGATTTTTCATGAATCAATTCTTGGAGGCTCGATTCAATGCGGAATCAATCCTATAGGTATTATTGGTCACCTCTTTTGCTTTGGTTAGACTCGTCGACTTTGAAGTTTGTTGCAGGAATTAGATTAGGTTAGTTTGGCTACACTCGGAAATACTGGAGTCTGTCCCGTTTCGTGTTTCCTCCTTTTCTTTATTATCTTCCCCCTTTTTTGTTGCGAATCAGGGGTCTTTTAATGAGTGGTTTGAGAGTAAGAGGTTGACTTCTCATTGTCAGAGGGGTGTGCGCATATGAGTTTATTGTGATCATTCGTCAGAAGGCCTGAGGGCCTATTCTCGAGTTTGAGGTGAACGGATTTGTGAATGGAAGTGGCTCCGTTCATGTATTTCGGTGGGGAACGAAAATTTTCGTGAACAAATACTAGATTCACATGTGAATTAATTTCCTTCACGGAGGTCATTTTCAATTCGCACACTGATTCCCAAGTCACGAATTTCACACGTCGTGATACTCTGCATTTGGAGTACATCGTAATAGATGTATCTCCGCAAATTATCCATTTTTCAACTTATTGTAAAACAAAGAATGGAACTATAATAATTAAATTTAAACAATTAATGTTTAATGTTTCGTTCCCCAGAAGAGGTTAACTGGATCCTCATACGAGTATCCTCATGTGTGAATCGAAAACGACATCCGTCAACGAAATTGATTCATATATGGATCTAGGATTCGTTTACAAAAACTTTCTGAGTATAGATATGTTCTTATTTATTTGCATTAAGAAGTTGCTCAGAAAAAGAAGAAGAAGTTGAAAATGCTCCTCTGTGTAAACGGTACCCCTTTCCAGTGCAGGTATGTACCAAAGAAATTGCTTATGATCCCTACCTTCAACAACTCGTACCTGATTTTTAGTACAGCTCTTTTGACACCACGCTCTTGGATAAGTTATTGTCGAAGTTGATGTTCAGTTCTTCAAGAGTTTCTGCATTCGAAAAAAACAATGTCTTCCATTCAGTAGTGATAGCGATGCCGCGAAACGCGGGAGAAACGAGTCGAACTGAGACAAACGAGACGGAAAACATGACGAAACGAGACGAGAAGAGTCATTCGAGACAATGACAGAAACGAGACGAGACGAGAAAAGCCGGTCGGGAACGAGAGAAATGAGAGGCAAGACGAGAGTCGAGGGAGGTCCCCTTCTCTGCCCCATCTGTGTATTTTTTTCCGTTCAAATTGGATTATAGAGATGAGATGAAGCGAGACGAGACGAGACGAGAGAGTCTCTCAACTCTCGACGAGACGAGAGAAGAAATTGCTCTCGTATTTCGATACGAGACGAGACAAGAGAATGGTTTTCTAATAACGAGACGAGACAAAAAGATGCAGTTTCTCGTCTCGTCTCGCGGTATGCCTGAGTAATGACAAATTTGTTGAGTATTGGTCTGTTTTTATGTGGGGCGTGTTTTCCGATTCGATAAGCGAGTTTAGTACAACCATCGGAGATTTGAAGGCCTGCCTTGTTTATGACTGTCGACGATGGTTTTAATTAAGTTTTCTCTGTCAACTGATGCCTCAGGAATTTTGTACAGAATCAGTGTTTCGCTGCCCTCTTGGTGCGCTTTTTCGTCTAATTCTCATTTCAGCTACTTGATTTTTTTTTTTTTTTTGTGACTTGAGCAATGAATTTTGTGTGGCAGTTATATATGTACCAGGTCGTTAACAACTTGCTACTGAGTAAGCTTGATCGATGATACCCTTGCTAATTTACTATAATTAGAAGATTGAACTGTTCGTCCCAGATAGAAATTTCGATTTGTATTTGGCTGGCTGTTAGGTTGCTACGTCAGTCACAATTCAATAGTTAGGTAGCCTAACGCTGTGCAAATTGATTACACTGGACAGCACTTCAACCGAAATTTCCTCAGGATTCATCAGAGATTTCATCAAGGTTTGGTCAGAATTTATCCAAGGCTGAGTTTAATTAAACTTTTTAGTTTGATTGAAAAGGCATCGGAACGACTTTTTCAAGTTCCGATTTAATTAATATTACTGCTGATTTATTCACTAATCATGAAAAAACATTTTCTCTTGAAATTACATAAATAATACGTTCTAACGACGCTGATTTATTGTTATGAATTAGGATCGGCGAAATGGCAATTGCCCATGTATGGTGTGCCATGAAGATGGTAGTGGGGGGGGATTGAGTTTCGTGTTTCTATAACGGAGTAAAATTTACGAAATTCAAAATTCATTGATTCCCGATTTATTGCGAATAAAGTAAAACAGCTGCTTAACTTTATTCTTACCGACGTCGGTGGCCGAGTGGATTAGACGCAAGTCTAGTGTGCGAAAAGTTGTGAGTTCGATTCCCCATGGAACCGAATTTTTCAACGGAAGGCTCCGGCGAGCGGGAGGTTGCTAATAGAGGAACCGCCTGTACCGGCATGGGTTTTCTGTGGTTTTCCCATGCTACTTCTATGTTCTATAGAAGTGCGAATGCGGTACAGTGCAGAATCCACAGCCGCATGCATAGGGTTGGATAGAGTGCCGAATGGGACCCGAAAAAGGGACTCCGAGGCCGTAAAAAAAAAAAAAAAACTTTATTCTTTGAAGAATAATGAACACTAAAAAAAATTAAAATCGTATGAAAACTATGGCGCAAGGACCATTTTAAAAACAAAAACAGGAAAAAATGAAGTTTTTCGGGAACGATACCCACCATACATCTTCCGTTGGCCCTGCAACGAATGGTGCAATTCCCATCATATTCTTGATAGAATCAAGAGAGTATTGATATCAATTTTTTTCAGCCAAGATTGATTCAGTTTTGATAATAATTTTTCGGCGATCGCTGAAAAATAGATTTTTGAAAAAGTATAAATTTTTTCAAAACTTTAAAAAAATTTTAATTGGTGTCAATGGATAGAGCTTATTGAAATTTATATTCATGAAAAAAATTAATGACATTCGATAAATTCCCTATAAGAAAGTTGCAAAAACTAACTTTTCAAAGACCACATACATATCGACGTCGGTTTCGATCTCAAGTGGAAGCGAATTTTTCAATATCAGGCTCCGACTATAGCGGGAGATTGCTAATAGAGTAACCGCCTGTACTTGCATGGGTTCCCTGTGGTTTCCTATGCTACTCGTATGTTCTACAGGAGTGTGAATGAGGTACAGTGTAGAATCCACAGCCGCATGTATAGGGTTAGATAGAGTGCCGAATGGGACCTTCCAAGGGACTCGAAGGCCATAAAAAAGATCACATACATACAAACACCAAGTAGAAATCATATACTTGAACTTTTTAGACCATATTTAGATACCTTTATACAAACATTGGAAAATTCAGTTTGAACGAGTACAAAGCTTCCATTCGGAAGTAAAAGCCAAATCAGTGCACTTTGAGTGGGTGTTTGTGGAGTCAGAATCAGATTGCTGTAAGAAGGATAGTTCTAAATTTATAAATTGAAAGATGGAAAAAAGAATCTTTATAAAATAAAAATAAGTAAAAGCAGGGCAACAACATCCTTGGGTCGGTGTCTATGAGATGTTTGTCTGATATCAATTTAATTATCAATTTCAGGGGTGATCTTCACGACAGGAATATGTTTCAGTCTACTCCCGTTGAAGCCAGTGGCTCTGGATATAATACTTCCTCTTAATGAATCAAGGCCGAGAACAAATGTATTGAAAGTCGATCATTCGATCTATGGCATCGATAAGGATAAATACTATTTTACTATCTCATTTCATGGCATAATGAATGTCGTGCTGTTGCTGAATTTTATAGTAGCGGTTGATACATTTATTATAATCTTAATCGAACATTGCTGTGGCTTATTTGAAGCTGTTGGGTGATTCTCTTTTAGATGTGTCTTCGAGCGATGGACTTTTCCATCAGTTGATTTCTTCATTTTTTTCAATATTGCAGCGATATATTACGACAAATGCAGGCCGATATTTCTCCAGAGCATCAACATGAAATACTTTGTGACGCTATAGGAGTACATCATCGGGCCTTGACGTACGTCTCCATTTTACTTTTTTCCAGTTAACGCGCATGAATAAATTTGACGGGAAAAATCCGTGCGAATTTGCGAGAAAAATTTGTTGCATTCTTATTGAAATTTCAATCAATTTTTGACCGATTCTTTTGAAAAAGTTCGTAGGTTATCTTCACGTTTTTTCATCAGAAATGTTCAATGGAAAATGTTCTGAAAAAAATTAATAGAATTTGATTTCTCTTGTGACGAGGTGACTTGAGCCTCTCTATGACATTTCCACCTAAATATTTCCCGCCACCGTTGATCACATCAAATTCCCCCGCTACTCCCCTCCCTCACCCTAATCCGAAGCAGACACAGAGGATGGACGAACGTGTGGAGATGAACTGCCCCGAAGAAAGAGCCCGAACGTAAATACACCCATTGGAACAATAAGCTTATGCCACAAGTTGTCTGACGTTTTGGCCTGCAGATTGCCCGTAACCAAATAAGGAGCAAAGGCTTCAGTACTAATTAATTATTCCCGTGGAAGACCTGATCATAGCGTCAGTGTTCTTCGCTGTATTTTGGCAGTTGCCGTGAGTACAAGTTACCCAATTATATTTTCCCCAAATATTATTTTCCTAACAGTGAGCCTACACTTTTTTTCGTCTTTTTAATCTATTCTTGTAATTCATTGTAAAGTAATTCGTGTTAGCCCCTATAGATGCAAGTGCCTATTGTTATTATTCTAGACTCAATCCCTATCGGGTGTGCCAAATTAGCTTAGCCTTATCCATTCCCCTAGTAAAAGGCAACAGAGAATTGTGAAAAGTTTTTGTATAAATCAAATCTAGTCTAGGAAATGTAGGAATACTAATCAATTCATTCCCCATTGTCATTATTCTATTAAATACACTAATCCTCTTTTCAGATTCAAATTATCAATAAAATGAAATAATCCCCGGTTTCACTCTATATAACTTATCCTATTGAGATATTTTCTAGAGAAATTCCTTGGTTCAAATTTTCCAAGTCCTTTTGTTTGATTTTTTAATGAAAGGAGGAGAAAAAGAGAGCTCTAAGAACTTAGAGAATTCTTGTCGAAATATTCCTACGGAAAATGTCTCAATTGAAAAAGTTGTACAAAAAGGTTGAATTGTACTGATTTTTTCTATAAAATCGTTTCAATTGTACATTTTTTACTGAAAACCCGCCCAAAAAAGCTACGGAATTCGTGAAAAGAGTCGGCCAAAAATCAATGAAATTTTAATAGAAGTTCAAAAGAAATACAATCGAATTTTCTATTGAATTCGCGAGTTTTTTTCTATGAAATTATTTTGTGCGTGGAGGTTATCTGCACCCACTGAGTGGTCTGTGAGTAATTAAAAGTGCGACTGGTTCAACGTTGAGTCGAATTGAGTTTTCACTAGGCAAGTATGAGACAAGTACTCGATCCTATCCTTTCATATCAATTATACTAAAGGAGAACACCATATCTCGAAATTGTGAGGTATCGATTTTTTTAATCGAAAATGAAAATATCGATTATCAATGGAAACAATTGTCGAGTATCGATTAGAAAAAAAATGACAGTTTGTGTTGATGAAGATTGAGCAATTGATAAGGTTGAAAAACCTTGCCGGGCGCGCGAAGCGCGCTTTACAATGCTAGTCATATCGTAAAAAGGAGAAAGGAAATCGATCTCGATATATCTCGAAAATCTCGAAAAAGCGTAAGCGCAAGACTGAAACCGAATACCGAAGCGCTACTACGCGAGGGAATGAGAAGACGCATGCGTAGCACGCGCGGCCGATTGTCTCAAAAAATTGACGAATTCGAGTTACTTGAAATTGATGTATAAACATTGATTGTGTGTGAAAACTGATCGAAAGTTCGGGTTATTCGTGATTTTTCCTGCTCTCGATGATTTCAGTCTCTTAACCCTCGATCACTGGCTTAACCATGAAGAATAGAGACCAGGAGGCCGAACTGTAATGGCCAATTCCTCAGAATGCGCGACCAAACATGGTTCCTTGCAATAGTTGCGTCGGAGTGAAAGAGGGCGCTTCATCTCCGTTACTCGGGATTCACATATATTGGGGACGCTACATAAATCGCTGCGATGTCTGGTGGGTATCGCCTACACTAAGAAAAATGGCCGTCCGATGGTTTATCGTTGGTACTTCAATCAATTACTTTGCAAATCCTCAAGTTTTTCTAAAATATGACACCATCGGAACTTCGAGTACAACAATAAAAAACAATACAGAAATGAATGAGTCGAAGAGGAACTACTACTGTCAGCTCCAATGTGAGGGTTTGAACAAGTTTGAACGGGTAAACCATCGGTCGTCCATGTTATGGGGGCGATCACCACGCCGCCATCAGTAAATAGCGGTCCCAATAGTACTCCGCACAATTGTAGAAATAGTAGAAAAGTTTATCTCTGAATTTTATTTGTTATTAAATGTTGTTTGAAATTCAAAATAATTTTTCGGGAAGATAATTAATGTGCAGGAGTAAAAATGAGAACGGTGTGTTCATTTCCGAACTGCAAGACCAGTACAAATGCAGAGAAAGTTCGGAATAAGGCACATGGTCTCTTGTTTTTATTATCAAATAACACCAAAGGTTATGATATTATCATAATAATATTATATTGTTATCATTAAAGAAACGACCATTAACAGAATTTTCGGTTTTCATGTTTTTTTTTATTACACACATTGCATGTCACAAATTATACAATTACGGAACAAAAAATGATTCATAAAAAAAAGCAATTTATTCAGTAATTCTATGACCGTTGCCAGATGATCAAGAAATTTTATTCTGTCACATGTTAGCCATGGTATGACTTCGTTGTTGGACAAAATTGTAGCATTTAGAGAATCGTCTATGACAATTTTCTTCCTCTCTTCTCCATTTTCCAAAATTTCCACAAATAAGACATATTCGTCATGTTTGACTGCTGCTCAATTGGAGGGTCTCTTGACCATTTTCAAATTCTTATGTAAATCATTAAAATTAAATATCACACTAGTTACATTCTCCATAAGTTGAGAAAATATAAAATTGATAATTACAATTAATCCTCAACATATAATGGTTTGTAAAATTTTAATATACAATTAAATCTCAGATATTATATACAATTAATCANAATTTCCACAAATAGGACATATTCGTCATGTTTGACTGCTGCTCAATTGGAGGGTCTCTTGACCATTTTCAAATTCTTATGTAAATCATTAAAATTAAATATCACACTAGTTACATTCTCCATAAGTTGAGAAAATATAAAATTGATAATTACAATTAATCCTCAACATATAATGGTTTGTAAAATTTTAATATACAATTAAATCTCAGATATTATATACAATTAATCATCAAATTCACTATTTGCAATTAATTTATCATTCATAAAAAATTTTATGTACAATTGTAGAAATCACCCGAAATCCTAGGCGATTGATGTCGATTCAATTATGTTCCTGGTCATGATGGATCTCTTTTTGATTGATATCATTAGACTGACTGACTGATATCACTGACTGACATTCTAGTGGGCTCTCCAGAATCCAACTAAGGAAATAACAGACAAACATCATGATTACATTGTTTTCAACTTATGAGCATTCAACATTTTATTTACGATAATCAACACTAACCTAGAAATACGTCAGACATCTCAGTTTTTATAGTTGACTTGTACAGAAAATGCTTCCCCCTTCCGTGGAAGTCATTGCCTANAGACATCTCAGTTTTTATAGTTGACTTGTACAGAAAATGCTTACCCCTTCCGTGGAAGTCATTGCCTACATGTAATCAATTTTTTGCGATATTCAATCACTCAACAAAGTAGTTCGTATAAAAATGAATAAACATTTAAAGGCCAGGAATTATTCAGTACGTTATTTTCATACACCTACACACTTCACAGGCAGCATTCTCCCACTACTGCCATACAGAAAAGCGATTGAAGCACCACCTACACGGAGAAAAAAATCTGGTAAAAATTATAGAGAGATTCGGGATAAAAATTACCATGTGGCCGAGTAATTGTGTAGCATTTCGTCGATGGGTTAAAAAGTATTAAGTGTCAAATAAAAATTGCAATTGCAGAAATAAAAACAGTTAGGCCAGCAGGAATAAAAATTACCATGCCAGCATAGTAAAATTTTTCACCCGGGAATTCAATTTTCATTAGGCGTAGAAATAAAAATTACCATGCCAGCATAGTAAAATTTCTTACCCGGGAATTCAATTTTCATTAGGCGCTGGATCATTTTTGACCTTGAACGCCTAATATTTTTTCCTGGATTAATTTCTTTTTTTTTTGGTCCGTTGACTTCTTTTCTCAAATTACAATCAATTTTAAATAATGGAAGAGTACATATCGAAGATTGTTTATGAAACATTTATTTTTATTGAATTGTCCAAGTCCCATACATTGAAAAATAACTTATTATTATTCTTATTAAAAGTCAAAACCAATTTTTTACAAAAAATTTACCTTGGAGCGTCTTAACTAAATTCGTCACTCTACATCCATTTAAATCGATAGAGCGAAGAATATCCATAATATATTGTTCACTGCAGAGTGCAAACGATTTGTTGTGTTCATCAAGAAACACATAAATGAATTTTTTTACAATGAAGAAAAACTCATTATCCTTGACAATGATGTGTTGTATATCGTAAAAATCAGGCCCATCTTCTCCAGGAACTACGCAGATATGCCCAATTTGAATGTGGGTGCCACGGAAAATTATTTTTTTGATCAATTGGACTTTTGAATTGAGCGACTTATTACAGAAAGGTTCAAGATTTAGTAGCTCACTGATGCCATCGAATCCTCCTACTTCTCTCTCTTCGACTTTGTCTGCGTCATGAATCAGTTCAGGGGGTGTTTCTTTTTTCAAAAATCTATAATTAAGTTGGAGCTGATGCTTAATGGCTATGGTCCTGCAAATATTTACCCGACAGATTGCGGTCCGAGACGTAATCTTTCCGTCTCTGTGCTTCGCTTCACACCTGATCGTGCTAATTTTCCACAGAGGGCCGCATAAGCGAAGTACTCGTGGGTAATGCAAAAGGAAGTGGTGTTTGGGTTTCATAGAATTGGGGAATATCGAAGTTAACAATGTCAAATATTGAGTTATTTTTACCCCGAGGATTTGGTCAGAACCGTAAGGAAGATCATAGCTCGTTACGATGTCAATTAGGTCTTTCATTTCTAGAAGCAATTGCCAGACCGGTTCATCATCAGTAATCAGATGACCAATGATTAGGGGTAAGGAACGGACTAGAGTGAGCATCTCAGATGCAGACAATGTAATACTTTGTTTTTTTAAGTGGGCAGGCGTGATTTCTGGGGGTTTGTTCGTGATTATACCGTAATCAAATGCGCGTATGAGATTGTTTAATTGAATTAAAGTGAATTTTTTATCTTTTATAAAGTAATGGACAATGAGAGCGATGTCATAACGACATATTCCTTCCAACAGATCATGTACGACGTCCACATATAGATTGACGAGAGGGTGAAAACCGCCTACACCATACAAAACGGATTCTCCCTCGATACCGGTAGTTTTCTTATCGTTTTTTGCAACATCAAAATCATAGGTTTGTTTCGAGCGCAGTTCACAGTCATTTTCATTGAAAATTTGATTTATATCCCTCTTGTTGGTCAGACAAAATCGACAGAATTTAGCTTGACTGAATGCTTCTGTAAAGCCCAGCATATAGTGCACACCTAAATTATCGCCACTAACTAAAGCTAGCCTGAAATAAATCGTGTATTGATTGGTTCCTGAAGACACATTAATCCCTACAGTCTCTAAAAATGCTAATTCTGTTTTAATTTTGGAAAAAATTATTTTATCCTGGAAATATTTCCGATCTAGCGAGTTGAATAAAACCATTAGGAAAATATTTTCGACTTTTGATGCGAAACGAGGTGGTAAGCACGGTATCAAAGCATAAATGGCACCGCATTTCGAAATCCCTCGATGAGAACCTAAGGGATTGTTGTTCTCATAATCATCAAAATAAATTATGAGAGGAAAAACTATTTTGTTCCCATCATTGGCACTCAATTTTTTCCAAAGTTCTCCCTGAATGAAATTGGAGAAAATCGATGTCTGATGTTTTAGTCTTTCCATATAATCCATTGTCTCCTGTAAAACGTTAGGCAGCTCGAAGAAGAGTTTTAACACGGAACTTAAGGGTATGAATTGCGCTGTTGTCGGGTGCATCACCAATTTGTGACGATTTCTTCTTCGGAAAAATTCATCTCTTTGACCTAATGAGTACGCTATGGGAGGGATGAATGTATTTTGATTCTCAAAATTTTGGAAGCACATGTGCTCTGATGTGAGGTTAATGAAAGGGTCCTCGCGCTTTTGAAAAACCTCCTCGATTTTCTGCCTAATAGTTACATCTTCATTCGAAATAGAATTTAACAAATCAGTCTTCAATTTGTTAACTTCACACTCCACGAAAGTTGCCGTTTCATTTATTACTTCAAGTGACCTATTTCTGCTAACATCGGGGTAATGGAAAAATTTAGCGGCGAGCATCACAGCAGAATTTGAATTATTAGGCAATTGTCCTGATCTGACTGTTTCGATCACATTTTCTGGGTCTGAACTAATGGGTTGAACTACAGTTACTTCTACCTCGTGAAGCACAGCTTCATTTTGAATTAACAAATTTTCCCCCTGCCCTCTTAATCGTGTTTTTTTCCTGATTTTAATCACGCCAGGATTTGAATGTTTATTGTAAATATGACATCGGAGTGACCCTATAGTCGTGAACGTCCTGAGACAGTTTGCGGAGCCACATCTAAATTTCATCAACGCAGGATGAATTAATTTCAAGTGATGTAAATATTTTTTACATTCGAAACCGCTCAACTTACATATATCACAGTAAAATCTCTCGTGCGTATCCATGTTCTTATCGTATGATACACGAGGAGACAAATAAAAACGAGAATCAAGAGAAACAAACTTCAGACACTAAGTTTAGGATTACAAGTTATTCGGTGCTTCGTTTTCGTTATTTCTGGTAAGCCAACTTGAAATTTTACCTATCAGTACCAGTGTTTCTCTGCTGAATTTGTCTTTGGGGCGATGAATGTCGTAAAAAGCCTTCTGAAGAAACATCCAGACGCAAGATGAACGGACTGGATATGAGCATTTCAGGGCGAAGAAGATTTTCAGAGTAACATCAATCGCGTGCAAAATTGAATCCACAGTGTAGATCGTTGGATTGCCCACTGTGTCATTAATGTACACATAAATACTTTCTACATTGGCTAGGGGACCCACGATGACTGGCAATGGCTGAAGAGTCAAGTTTGCAGCGCGGAGAATTCCCAACTGTCGTTCTATAGCTGGCTGAATATTGTCTGGCGTCTGAAAAGAATAACGTTTCAACAGACTCGCACAAAACAATTATGAAGTCGATAGTTACCTCAACGTGGAGTATAAAAGAGTCTTGTTTTTCTCTAAATGAAATTTTAGGTACTGCCTGATCTCGTCGACGTTTTGCAGGTGGATTGGAGAGTAGGGCAGGGAGGAGATAGAGAATGAGAGTGTCTAGGTTATCTAAAAGCAGAATTCAATTCTATATTATCAATTAAACTCAATCGGATCAATTGAGAGAGACTGATCGAAAAAAAACGAGAGCAAAACATGAAAAAATAAGGAAACGAAAGAGATAGTGAGGGAATTTTGCTGCTAAGCAAAGAAGGCAGATACAGAGAAGAGGGGGGGGGGTAAAGAAAGGAGACAGAGAGTTGAACCAACGTACGCTGTAATAAGTCCTCTGCACTCAACAACACTCTGTCAGCTTCGGGAATACTCTTGCACTTCTTTAACTCCTCCAACACACGATTCCTCACAGTCTCCCATTTGTCGAAGAACTCGTTTTGTCGATTGGGGTATAAATGATCAAAGTCTGACAGAAGCTACAGAGGAAGAAAATAATTTAATTCATATTTCTGATCAACTTTTGATTATTTAATTGTTATGAAAGCACTTACCAATTCAACCCCTAACTGGATCTTTAAGCACGGCAAGTCTTGGTAATAGTCGTGCACAGAGCAACCGGTTTCCAATAACTCGTGACGTGCTGGACGAGATATTTCCCAGTTAAATTTCACCCTGTCTTCTGGAGACGTATGTGCATTCAGCCATTCCTTGCCTTCAGTGGCACCAACTATAGAAACACGATTTGAGGTTTAATTATCAAAAATTCTTCATAGTTTATCCAGGTGATAATTAAACAGAAAAAAAAACTCAAAATTTCCTCAGAATTAAATCCGAAATATGTTAATTAAGGCCCGGGTGTATTATCTTTCATACGTTATCTACAATCTGTCATCCAGCATTATGAGGGGAAATCATGCACTCAGCAAAAATCCTCTGGTGTACTGCACATAGACAATAAGTAACCAAAAACTCTCTTTAGCAAGATTCGCAATATTTTTAGGAATTTTTCCATTACACTTTTACTACAAAACAGCGATAATTAACGACGTAAAATGGAAAATACACTTTAAGGCATCAAACTGTCATTCGAGGTGTAATCTGTGCAAAGATAATCGTACAACTTCACACACATCAATTCCCCATAGAAATGACAGCTGGATGTCTCATGTGTATTTCCAATTTTACGTTGCAAATTATGGCCAGTTGATGATAAAAGTGGAATTGAAAAATTCTAAAAAATATGACGAATCTCGCCAAAGAGAGTTTTTTGTTCATTTGTTGCCTATGTGGAGGGCAGTGAAGAATTTTTTGGAGTGTACGGTTTCCCTCAAAAAATTGAAAAAACAATGGCGATACCATGCTAAAAATAATACACCCTGGCCTTAATCCTAATAAATCTAACCTGGGACTTCAGGGGCAGCTACTGGAGCGTTTCGCCGTGGTGCAACTTGCTGAAGTAGGTTTTTCTTCCTTAACTTCTTCTTGGTGTAATGGTAGTGTTCATATAGAAGTCCTGTTGGGTCTATTTTAATTCCATTTTCCATCCGGAATGGAGTATAATAGACGAAAACGCTTTCACCAATGAACACTTCTGCAATCTGTGTGGCCCAAGTGGTGAACTTAGCAGACGTTATCCTGCAAATAAAATTAATATTTATAATTGCAACTCACAGATAGATTATAATTACCAATAATTAGTAGATACATACTTGAATTGTCTCAAGTAGGTAATTCCTTCTTGTCGAAAAACGTCCCTGAACTGTCGATCTTTCTCCTGTGCGATGACCAGGCGAGTCAGCAAACATCGAGTATTTTTCGATAGACTTCCATCGTTCCTGTATGCAGCTATGATAGTCTTCCCGTCAGTACTGTCAAGCAGTAATTGATAAATTGGCTGTAAGACAAAAAAAAATTCAGGTTAGAAACAGGACTAAAATTTGTTTTTCAATCAATTCACTTCCTACTTACATTGTTGGTAATACGTGGGTGATTGAAGTATGCAGGATCAGCCTGGAAATAATTTCAAGTCAGAAACAACTAGGATATCTACTTTTTAGATTACCAACGAGAGACTACAAAAAGCATGCGAGAAGAGGATCCAGGACTCAGTCAAAAATGAAAAGATAATTTTGTATGATTTATGTATACCATCCGTATGGAGAAAGAAAATAAATGTGTAAATAAAGCCCTTACCATATTGATAACTTTCTGTAAAAAAAAGAAACAAATACAAACGATGCACAGGACAAACAGTGTTGCGATTTATGGAGATGAAACCACGTGTTTAACCTAATTAATAACGCAATTTTTCGCCATGCCAATAACCACGTGCTTAGATCTGTTTCATGGCAAAAAAATTGAAAAAAATAATTGAAGAAAAAGAAGAAAACAATAATTATACTTACGTCGAAGTTTATTAGGATTTCACCAATTATTTTGGTAAATAAAGCAAAAATTTGCAGCGTCCACTTAATCCTCACACGGTACGCACTGCGAATAACCAACGGTTTTTATACGTGCATTTTCGGGGGTGCTCGGACATTTCCGAGGCCGAAAGGTCGTGAATAAAATCGGAGATGATCGACGGACGCTTACCCGACGGTCGGATGATTTTCTAATGTGCAGCATGGTAAAAATTGCATGCGCAGCTTAGCAAAAATCGTGTATTTTTCTGTCACATTTTAAATGGATGGAAGAGTAAAAATTCATCTGTCTCACAAGACAAAAAATGAAAGTATCAACTCAATAAAAATTATTGGAAAATTAATAAATAACATTGAAGGATCTTTTATTTTTTGTTTTCCGGGTAACTTTTTTTATTCGACAGGGGTATAAAATCGATTGACCTGGAATAAATTACCATGCTACTAAATAAAATTTGATAAGTGAGACAAGAATTTTTCTTGTTGACATTTTAGTTTTTTTTCAATTGTCTTGATAAAATAAACTAGAAAGGAAGAATGCTACACCATTATTCGGCTAGCATAGTAATTTTTACTTGAATTTTTTCTCCGTGTATAACACTTCATTACCCCGAGTATGGTCTCGGATCGGAAAACGCTAGTTCGGCCTCCTGGTCTTTATTCTTCATGATCATACCTTAACGATATGGAGTCTGCTTTGAGTTTCTATGGAGAAAGGAGGTTGGCAAGGTAGAGGTTGAAGAGTATGGGGCTAAATGCAGAGCTCCGACCTGTACCTATATTCATTGGATAAGAACCTTCGAGGTTTCCTTATATCACAAAGTAAGATTGTCAGTAGGCAAGGAGGAAATAGATGAAATTAGCTATTTTTGGGGGAATACCTAACCAAGCTAGGTCTTCATAGAGTTTGAAGGGATCCACATGATCAAATGCTCCATTTATGTCAACAAACATGCAAGCAGTGAATTGATTGGATGCGAATACTGTGAGAACTTCAGTGGAGAGAATCGCTAAGTTATCTGCACAAGAGCGCATTTTTTAAAATCCAAATTGAGTATTAGTGAGAATATTTTGAAATTCAAGCCACTAAGTGAGTCTATTTGAGACGTTTTTTTCGTATAGTTTGAAGAAACAAGAAGCGAGAGCTATCCGGCGGAATTTATTAGATGATTTTGGGAGAAGAAAAATGAGGAATTGTCTCCATGAGTCTGGAAATTAGCCGGAGTTGAGGAGTTCATTAAATATGTTAAGGAGGAAGTTTTTGTATTCTGGGGGTAGCTTGCTAATTATTACATAATCAATTTTGTCCAGGCCTGGGGAAGACTGCTTTTTCATTGAAGCTAAAACTTGCGAAAATTCTTTGGGGGAAAATTCTTTCTGTAGGAAGGGATTGGGTTCATAGGGGTTGGTAGGAGGGAAGAGGGGCAGTGGAGGAATGGTGTAGTAAACAGCACTAATTCATTGAAATCTCCTGCCCCCTACCCATTGCTAAATATAATGAAAATATGGGAGGAGTGGATCTGGCAGATCAGAAAATAAAATATTACAATGTGTCTCGTCAATCGCATAAATGGTGGAAATATTATTTATATTTTGTTCTGGAAGTGTGCGTTGTAAATAGTCATATACTTCGTAATGGCAGTGGAGATAATCAGATAAGTCAATTGGAATTCAGAAAACGATTGGTTCCTCAATTAATCGGTAATTTTAGTAGTCAAATTAGGAATGATAAGACTAAAATTGATGATTCATTTGCTAAAAATCCTGCATCACATTCAATAGTGAAATTTGATGGTCACCAGAAATGTTGTACATTATGTGCAAAGGAGAAGAAGAGGACAATGAAAGGACACTATGTTCACACTTCCTTCCAATGCCTCCAATGCCATATCCCGGTTTGCCGGGTCACGTGCTTCGAAAAATATCACGGATTTGGACCTGAATGATCGAGATAAAATTATTTAGAAGATCGCTTTGCATGGATAATTTTTCTGCAATAATTGTGTTGACAGCGAGAAACGTTTGAATAAAAAATATAGATGTTATCGTGAAGAAATATTATTTATTACTGTACCTTGAAATATCGATAATAATATTTGAATACGAATGAATATATAATTTGATGTTATGCTAAATAAAATCAGAATCGTTGTGGCGAAATTTGAATTGGAATGAAGCCCCCCCAATTACGGCACTGACTGTTGCGAAGAATCGTAACCCCACGAGCGCTTGTACGCCCGGTCTACCCGAGTGACTGCGGAGTGGGGGAAACGCCCATTCCCACAAGAGGTGGGAATGGGCGTTTCCCCATTGAAGCCGAGTGCCCTGTTGCCACCTTGGCAATTACCGCTATGTGTGCATTTCTAGTGTGGCAGTGACTGTAGCAACACTGTCGCTCGAGGAGTCGGCAGGGAGTCACTCGCACCGGGCGGCGTGCAGCTTTTTCATCCGTTCGACGTTTTTTTTTCTTTTTTTAGCTGAATAAATTTGCCTTGAAAGAACGGACGACGCCAACGCTTAATAGAAGAATTGAACTAAGAACTCCAATTTTCAAATTTTTTAAAAGTCGAGAAATATGCTAAAATATTTGAAAAAAACGAAAACGGGTGGCGCCGCGCTCATGGAGCCAGTGATCGAGGATTAGCTCACACACAAAAAAACTTAAACGTAAATTATGTTTTGATAAACATAATTTACACTTAATGTCAATATGATGTCTGGTGGCTTTTTCCCGTTATGAAAATCGGAATTTAGGCTTTTAAAAAGCGTATTCTACGGTCAAAACAAAAACATAAATTACGCCTAAACAAAGCGTATTTTACGTTTATTAAAACGTAATTTACGTTTATAATTGCCGTAAATTACGATTTATAATTGCCGTAAATTACGATTTATAATCGTCGTAATTTACGATTTCGCCATCGAAAATTACGCTCATAATCGTCGCGAATTATGTTTATGTAATCGTAATTTACGGCGATTTTGATCGTAACTTACGCTTCAACTTCAAGCGTAAAAGACGACTTCTTAAACGTAATTTACGTTTAGGTTTTTTGTGTGCACGTATGGACTCTATATCCTATACCGACCTCACCTCTCGTCCTAGCGGCCGGGGTCCATATGTCATACCGATTTAATACAAGCTATGTCCATCTACCGCCCGGCCGTTGGAAGAATCTGACTGCTGATCGTCCCGTACGTGAGAGGTTGATGAATATTTCTGCTCTAAGGTATGAAACAGTAGCTGTGAAATAAATTCTCTGAGCACTCACAAAGTATTCTGCAGGAAGACAATTTTATTTAATTCATCCAAATTATCATAATAGAGTAAAAATATAGTAAATTTGTTGTTGATGAGTACACGATTGTTTTAGAATTTTATGTTGGTGTCGGGAATTCAAAAACTCAATAAGCAATAAGTTTTTCATGTCTGTCGAGTTCCCGCACAAGTGCGAGAATTCAATTCAACCTCGTTATGAGAACCCGACTCGAATCCCATTTTCGACTTACTCGCAGACCCCTAGCAGACCTCATGTTTCTCGGCCCATTTTGGGGCACGAGTCCTGTGTAATAAGATAGGGGCCTCGAATCGTGAATCATAAACGTCACTAGTGAGTGCGAATAACCTCAACATTTTTCTTCATAGAACCCAGCGAAAATGATTCTTATAACGATTGTTATTGTATAGATTGGCAGATTCTATTGAATCAACATTCACAATGATGTATGGCTTCATAGTTTTAGTTAGCATGATATTAGTCAGTTTGACAGGCATCGAAGTATGTAGTCAGTCGCAGAGCTGGGCACAATTTCATGGAAATTGAGTGGAAATTTATTGTAAATAGTTCAACTCACAGAAATACTATTTGGAATTGCATTGGGTGTGAAGTAGAAAAAATTGTTTTTCACAATAAAAACCTCAATCAACACATATTGAGTGTGAATATTAAACAGGAGGAATACACTCGGACAATAGTTGAATAAAATTAATTTATCTAATTTCCAATAGTAAAATACAAACCATTTCAAGAATTAATTTCAACTATTTCAAATAGCCTTTCTCTAATTCCAAATATCCAATACTATATTACTTGTTATTTTTGATGACTCTGAAATGCTAATCAGTTGCAAATATTTTAAATAGTATTTTACCCAGCTCTGGTCAACTGTGACGAGCCACTGTTATCACGTCTAGACATTTGAAATCCGATAATTCCAGATAATTTTGAAATTGGGCGACCCAGCTGAACTAATAAGATTTGCCTTGTACGGTGGTGCACAAATAATGCATTTGCTCTTCGTCAGTATTCCAGGTCAAGAAATATATGACCACAGTAGTCGAGTATTAGAGGAAACGTATATATCGTCCAATGTGAAGAAGTAGAAATATGTATGAAGTTATTTTCATCAAACTTTCTTCTAGTTACAATTGCAATTGGTTTGAGCTATCTCTCGAAACAAGAAAATTGATATACATCATGTTAATGCGTAGCATAAAGCCAATGCATTTGACAGCTGGAGGATTCTACATCCTGTGCTTGCAGAGTTTTGGAAACGTAAAGTAGATGTGGTGCGTGCAAAAGATATATTGACCATTTCTTGACATTTTCCAGGTATTGAAAACATCATTTTCTTTTTTTACGGTACTGCTATCGTCTCGTTAACTCCTTGTACGCCACCTTTCGATCTGTGGTTTGGATAAATTGTAGCACTTCATTAGAAAATTAATTTAACTCAGAACTTAATGGGCAGAATCTGAGCAGTACCCAGGCACTAACTCCTACCAGAAGTAGGTATCAACTAGCGATATTAGTGACATAAATGACCGTCAATGACCACCATCCTGACTGGTAATTACTGCGCCGAGAATCTAACTATATGGTCGGAAAAAGAAATGACGATTGGCTGTAAGCAGGAAATGACCGCATAAATTTTGACCGTCAATTTCCATCTATATAGGTGACCCTCAATTTTCGAGTACTAGTTGAGAACGGGGCCATTGGTCTTGGGTCTCTGTCATCACTAGATTGAGTCACTAGTTCACGGAGATAAAATTCTAGTAAAAATTAGTGTGCACCCGAATTTTTAAGGAAATCGCACGTAAAAGTACCGTAAGATATTCGAAGATTAGCGTGCTACATGCCAATTTTTGGATGGACCATCTAAATTTTTTGATGATCCCTATTTAGTTCCGCTGCTAGTGTAGCACGCTAATTTTTGAAGGGCCTTGCACGGGATTGTCATATATTTTTCTCTCCATGTATTATCGCTAGGCTTATTTCTGACTATCCCCTAGTAAAAATTGTGAGGCTGTGCCACATTGTCTGTTGGAGCGACATTCACGCACGGAGTGCATTACACTGATAGAACGATTCATTTATTCCAAACGAGATTCGTTAACTATTAACGAATGGACATTTGGTAGGACCGAATAGACCCTAACCTCCAACCAAAATCCATTCGTTAACAAAAAACTAATCCGTTCTATCAGTGTGCCGTACTGCGCGGCTAGGTCGCTGCTGGAACCCTAGGCGACACTGACGCGGTGCGCTCTCATTTTTTTATGCCTCTAGGGACGGAAAACCGCGATTCTAACCTCCCTTCGCTCGGTTAAATCGCGGTTTTCAGTCCTCGAGGCATAAAATATCGTGTGCCACACGGCAGTAAAAGTATTTTCTGACGAATGTGACGTTATAACCCGAGCCGAAGGCGAGGGTTATAACCACATTCGTCAGAAAATACTTTTACTCCCTAGGGGCACAATATACTATTTCATTTTATCGATAATAATAATTATCAATTAGTTGCGAGAGATTATGATTCACTAACAAATCGTTAATCCTTCAATAATTGATTGGAATTAATACGCATTTTCTGAAGAATGTGAATTCTTAATTGACGGGACTTGAGGTTAGGGCGGACACAGATAAGCCCATCCCGCATAAACCCCGCGCAGCCCTGTCTCAACGACCCTGCTGCGTACCTTTCTGAGGTACATCGCTGCGAAAGGCAATGTCGCGCGCCAACTTACGCCAACTTACGTTTCTGCGCAATGAAATTTCCACTAGAGTCTGATTAGTCAGATTCGTGGCGTAAGCTTTTACGTCCCAATCTCGACTAACTCCGGTTTTTGCAGTTAGTTCGTCCACCACCGGTCAGCTCAACAACTCGTGTTCGCAGCATTGAAACATTTTCTTCCATGTCTATTTTATTCATTTCGTAAGTTGTATCGGTACACTAAATGAGATATATGAATAAATACACTTAATTCTCAGTCATTGATTGGCTGAATTTATGATAAATGTATTATTAACAGCATTGCTTTGATATTTGAGTTTATTGTTAATGAACATTTACCTTAAATGATAATAATTCAATGCTATTAAAATTTTTTCCGATGGAACCCTTGAAAAATGTCAAAAAATGACCGAAATAAAAATGCCAGTGAATTTACAACTGTAGACACAATTTTTGGTCATTTTGACTCGTCTCTGACGTAGTTCAACTGTGACGGTCATTTTACATACAAAATCCGGCCAGGGTCAGAACACGGTTGAAAACCGGTCATTTACGTCAAACTTGACCGTTTACGGGAACATGACGGTCCTTTTAACATCTCTAGTACCAACAGGGTGCTAAATCTGTGAAATATATGACGATATGAACGAACTCTTAATTAAATCATTCCATTCTTGCCCTTCACCATTTTTTTCAGGTGTCTTGAATGTCTGCAAGGTCACGACAAAACCTTTAGGAAGAATGTGTTCAGCTCATCCTCGACTCATATTGCTCCCACGAAAAATTTAATAGGAAAATCGACCGAACCCGCAAGACAATTTCGCACATTTCCTGCGATTTTTTAATGGTAGAAAAGGCTTAATAATGAAAACTATCTTATAGGAAACGTCAATAAAAATTGATCTTTCTATGCAACTTATTCTACCGACATGTTCTATAGAAATTCCTGGCAATAAATTTCGTCATTTTGTTCTCACTCTATTTTCTCTCTCCTTTGATAAAACATTATGCAAAACAGCATGAAAAGTTTAGGCGAATTCCTAAAGAAAACATCTCAATAGAATAAAAACGATTACAAAGATTGAAAATAAACTGTTTTATTATAAAAAAAAAATATTTTTTTAACGTGATTAGCTGCAAGGGGTTTGCAACTGACCATCGCCCGAAAGCCTCCAGCCTGGTATTTATAGAGATATTTAGAGATGACGATTAGACAAAAATTTTGAAGAAAAAAAAATTGAAAAGTATTGATAATTGAGGGAATTATAATTTTTAACAAATGGCTAGTTTTTGTCAAAAAAAAATTCTTTTTAATTGGCCTCAATATTTCTGCGGGGTTTCCAGCTATCAAATCGCCCCTTGGCACACTCAAAGAACATGAAAAACCCTTCAAAATGAGACATCATACATAACTTTATCTTTAGTTTGACGGGGTTAATACGAGAAAACGTTTTTTTTTCAATCGTTAATTACTAGAAAAGCTATTTTTTTTTAATTTGGAAATTTTCACCAAAAATTGTCAATAAAATGAAAAAAGTTTTGGCGCCAATTAAAGTTTGTCGTTCGCCGTAGTTCGCTGGTTATTATTTTTTTCAGTGGTACAATTATTGAAAATAACCGAAAATCGCTATTATTCATGCAATTATCCCCGAAATGAGTGAATATTCTATAGTCTAATATTTTTTTAAATATACTTTTTCTGAAATTATATTATGTTCTGGTATGGGATATTTTTTCAGTATTTCATATTCTATTTATTTGAAAAAATACCGTCATTATTCGAACAGACATATATATCTTCGTCGCAAGGCAACTGCACAATTACACCTTTTACAGGTCTGCCGACGAATAACTCTATCCAATATAAGTCTACCTGTACAGCTGCATCTTGTGATAAGCCTGCCCATGAAGTTTGCATTCGTGACATTACTATCCATACATAACCCCACCGGCAGTCATCACTACTAATTCTTATCCCCACCGGGAATACATCCCTACCGGAAATACAGTCCTATCGATATGGATAGGAAAAAAAAATGTATATTGCTACACTCATATCGGTAGGGGTGTATTTCCGGTGGGGATAAAAATAGGTAGTGATGACGGTCGGTGGGATTATGTATGGGTAGTGACGTCACGAATGTAAAATTCATGGATAGTCATGTTGCAAGTTGCAGTTATACATGTTTAAGTCGGTATGTCTGTAACGCGGTAGATCTGTGCGGTGGCGGTTATATATGTGTTGGTTCGTCAAAAGGTGCAGTTGTACAGGAATGAGTCATGACCAGATCGACTCGCTCTCTGATAGATTTGTTCCTCGGTGGGGCCGTAAATTTCTAAAACTAGCGGGTAATGATGTCCTCTCGGTAGAATTGTAAAAATTCAAATCGTTTGGCTTGGGATGTCGCTTGGTAGGCATGTAAAAGGTGCAGTTGTACAGGTAGACTTGTATTTGATAGGGTTGTTCATCGGTAGGCTTGTAAAAGGTGCAGTTGTAGAGTTACCGTTTTCACGCTAAGAAGAATAACAAATGAGTTACGAGCTCAACGGTAAGAATGGATGATGCCACTATAGAGACGGCGTGAATTCGTTTCCAGTAAGCACGAGAATACCAGGTACCAGTTGGTCATTTGTTTCGCCTACAGAGTTACACATACGGTGTTATATCAAGTATGAGAACTGTCAGTTCCATATCACGCTAGGAGGGAGACAGGTAGTGCCAAAACATTGCATGGAAAAAACTCTTATAGAACAATTTTTTTCATTTCTGTTGTAAAAAGTTTTTTAGTTAAGTTGCTTCAGCGTCATTGAGTATTCTAGTCGAAGGGGAGAAAACTGAGGATAATTGTTTCCGTATTGGGAAGCTAGCGAAACAAAATATTGCCGACGGTTTGACGCTTGAAATTAATGTTGGAAATATCAATTTTTATTATCATTTCTATTATCATTTATTATCATTCTATTATCATTTCTATCATCATTTATTATCATTCTATTATCATTTTTATTATCATTGTATTATCATGTCATGCATTTCTTCATCTTATATGTAAAACAGAAGTCCGTTTTCACGGGACTTAGGTATCAACGCATAGCCAAAACTACTAGAGCTACGACCATGAGCTTTTACCTTAGTGACATAAGTACCCACTAAGAAAGGGTTTTTGGAAATTCATCCTAAAGGAATGAATTTTTTTTTCTACGGGGGTGAAAAATGGGTGAAAAATATTTTTAGGCGATTTCGAAAACCGCTCAAGTTAGAGACTTGAAACTTCGTGTGTAGATTCCTCTTTTGAAATTAATCGAAATATGTTTTTTCTTTTTGTGAAAATCAACCCCTGAGGGGGTGAAACGTAGAAAGTTCTAGAAATTTCAACACCGTTTTGGAAGTTTCTCGAATTTTGTAGAAAAGGATGGAATGCTCTTCAGAGATGAAAAAAACTCAGTTTCCCTAACGATGTATGAAATTTCTAGATCTTTCGGGGAAACTTGAGAATGTTCAACGGTAGTTATTATGAAACAAATTATTTCCATGTCTGTTATGACACATTTTCTTGCAATTTTTAGCATTTCCTGCAAAGTCCTCGGGTTCTTAGAAAAATTCGGGTTCTTCTAAAAAATTTCGGTGTTTTTTGAAAAATTGGGA